CCATCCAATCACCGTGAGACTTTTTGGATTTTCTTCTATGTATCTATAAGAAGGTTTCTACTTGAAATTAGATGAACTAATAGGCCTACATCTAACAAAAAAAGGCTCCGTTATTTAGCGCCCCTAGTAACATTGTATGGCTGTCTTTGAAATGAGCATATTTTTTAGGTCAAATAAATAGTTATTTGTGCAACTAGTGAGCAAAGTGAGCAATTGCCTCACCCGAGAGAAATCCTTACTCACGAGTCGTAGGCAAGTGAGGAATGGTTTCTCGAGTGGGGCAATTGCACTTTGCACTTGAGCTGCACATTATATTTTTCCTGCAGTTACCATAAAACAAATAAATTGGTAAAGAAACGTGCCTTCATGTTGCAAAAATGGAGTGAGACAAAGTAGTTAGAGTGAGACAATGTTAACAGTGTCTCACTGATGAGCGAATTGGCCACTTTGCTTTCTCAAATCAGTGAGAGAACATGTACATTGTTAGGTAACTGTAGAAAAAAATAATATCAGCTGTTGCTAAAAATATTTTCTGATGTGGAAATGAATAATGATTTTTCAGCGAAAAAATTTTCATTTTCCTACAGTTACCTAACAATGTACATGTTCTCTCACTGATTTGAAAAAGCAAAGTGGTCAATTCGCTCATCAGTGAGACAATGTTAACATTGTCTCACTCTAATTACTTTGTCTCACTCTAATTACTTTGTCTCACTCTAACTACTTTGTCTCACTCCAGATTTGCAACGTGAAGTCACGAAATAGTGAGCGCGTAACCTGCAGGCAACGTCGTATGCGCGCGAAATACGCTGGCAGCACTGGATGTAAATCAGCTGGTCAGCTGTTGTATTTGTCACTTCACATTAAAAATGTTATATTAAAAGTTCACTTTTGTGTAAAAATAGGTTATGTTTCTTCACAAATTTATTTGTTTTATGGTAACTGTAGGAAAAGTATAATGTGCAACTCGAGGAGTCAATTGCTCACTTTTCTCACTAGTTGCACAAATAACTATTCCATTGGTTATTGAGAAACAACACAAAAATAACTTTCAGAAAAGTTCAATGAAATTTTTAATATGCATTGTATGTGATATGCTATGCTAAATTATGTATTTGCATGGAAAGAGCCTGAAAATGTGCTTAATGTAATCTAGCAAAAATGTATAATATATTGTTTTTTCTCAAATAACCAATTAATTTTCAATTACTGTATTACGTTTCTCCAAATGTTACCGTTTTACACTCCAAAATCAAAAACAGTAACATTAGGTTGTTTGCTACTCTATGAGTTTATTTATCCTCTTATGACTGCAAAGATTGCATAAATATAAATATGTCATTTGCCATGTTTTGTTGCAGTTTCAATAGCTAACTTTGTAGACTGCGTCAAACGAAATAGATAAAATAAAATGAATTCAGTAGCTGATTACGAATAACTAATTTAATTTGATTTATTCACCAAACACTTTGTGTTTATGGAAATTACAACAATTAATTCTTCAAAGTGCCATGTTTGTTTTATTCTAAATTGTAGTATTTTTTACATACCCAGCGCCATCAGATGCAAAAACACATCTAGCGTGTATCTGAACTGCGGTGTTAGAACTGAAGGCGCTACTAGGGACCATGTAGCATTGACTTTATATCTGTGTAGAGATATAAAGTCAATGCATGTAGTAATGCGTTAATAGCTTAAAAAGTTAGGTTTTAAGCGTATTTTAAGATACGTTTTGACTTTATACACTACAATCTACACATTGCACTTTATATTTTTTATATATTTCTCGTTACTTGTATATAAACATATTTTATTTTCTGGAAAAGCTCGAAAACACTGACTTTAATTTGTTTTATTTTTTAATAATGTTATTTGTATATAGGTAATTAAATATTTCCTGTATCTTGGGGAAAATGAATATTTTGAATAAGAAGCCTTAATAACAAAAACATTAAAAATACACACATATACTTAATACAACATGGGTTTTCTCTGTACGGTAACATCCCTTTTTTAGTAGTCTTATACAGGGTGATTGATATAAGTGTGCCAGCCGTTTTATTCGAAAACCATAAGAGATATCAAAAAAAGTTAAATGGTAAGTGCCTTGGACTTTTTATTTAAAACATTTTGGTAAAGTCGAAAAAAATATTTTAGCCGCCATTTTTCTAATATGGCCGCCAACTTAGATTTTTCTAATGGAACACCCTGTATTTTATGATGTATTCTGGTAGAAAATGTAATTTTAAGACGATTTTATTCTTGTGATTTTTTTCATAAACCTAACCGTTTCAAAGATAATACAGGTTTAAGTTGTAAAATTTTGAATGGTTTTCGAATTAAACAGCTGGCATGCTTGCTTAAGCCTTTATCGAAACTCTTTCTCATGCAGAAATTTCAAAACTTTAACCATTATTATCTTTGAAACGGTTAGGTTTATAAAAAAAATTACAGGAATAAAATCGTCTTAAAATTACATTTTCTACCAGAATACATCATAAAATACAGGGTGTTCTATAAGAAAAATCAAAGTTGGCGGCCATATTGGAAACATGGCGGCTAAAATAATTTTTTTGACTTGACTACAATTTTTTAAATAAAAAATCCAAGGCACTTACCATTTAACTTTTTTTGATATCTCTTATAGTTTTCAAATAAAATGGCTGGCACACTTATATCAATCACCCTGTATAACCAATTTTTACGATTGAGGTGTCATCTTAAAGCACATGATACACAGCACCTGTGAATGGTAATTAAAAAGGAATTCCTTTTGGTCTTCGCCCCCCTAGCGATTAATTTATATATAGAGTCTATTTTCAAAAACACCAGTTATGTTGATCCAACTTTCTTTCGGTATGTTTGTTGTAATTTAACAGCTGATCCTTCAGTTAAATGTTTAACCACAGTCCGATTGTAAACAAGAGACTAAACATTCTAGGAAATAGTTATTTGTGTAACTAGTGGTGAAAGTGGCACTTTGCTGCACACGAGAGCAATGTTTACGCACGAGCCGCAGGCGAGTGTGGAATGATCTCGAGTGCAGCAAAGGCCTTTTTCACTCGTGTTACACATTATATTTTTCCTACAGTCACTATAAAGCATATAAATAATTAGTCTTTCAAACACTATACAACACGTTTTTATTTTCAGTTGGCAACACAAATGGTGCCCTAGAGAAAGTAGTACCCGCGGTCCGTATCACTCCGCTATTTTTCCTCGGCAAGAAATGTGCTCCTCGTTTTGAAAATATAGTTCCGTATGTTTTTGTAATTTGAAGTGGTTTCCGCACCTAAAAAGAATGCTTTAAAGGTATTTTCTTGTTTATTAAGATCATAGGAATGTTTTAAAAACGTTTAAAAGAAAAGTCCAGAATGTTCAGAAATACCGAAACTATAAACACGAAATGACAGGTAAAATCATAGTTATAATAGTCAATCAGCTGCTCATAGTATTATTATCTTTAAGTGTTGCCAACCTATTTCCAAGCGTACATGGATTGCGTGCATAATAGGATCACGCTGTTTTGTGTTGTTTCGTTGGAATCCTGATGAGCGGCAAAGTATAAACCGTACGACAAAGTATAAACCGTACGGCAAAGTATAAATATGCAGCAATTAGCAGCTTTCTGTACTATAAACAGTACAAGGAAGCCAACTTTGTCGGGTGACTGTAGGAAAATGGATTTTAAATAGGTCACGTGTGGATAACTGTAATCTGATTCAGGTTGGAAAATCCCCCTTTTATTAAACAATATTAGAAATACTTAAATAATCTTTGAAGGGTAAAAGAATGTTGCATGGGATTAATTTTACCTCGGACACATGTTTCCAACCCAATTGAAAAATGTGCAATTTTTGAAGGGTCCATTGGTATATAATAAGTCTATCATTATTAGTCAAATTTATTTTTGCTATTTTTAAAATTCATTACCTAAAGATAAAGCATCATGGTGTTTTAGTAGGTGGAGCATTTACTTCATGTAATGCAAGTAGACTTTTCACCTTTTGTTACATCTGAAGCCTTATTTTATGTTTGTTTCGTGTTCCTAATGTTTGGAGTGTGCTGATGTTGATTAAATGTTTCTATTTTAGGGTGGATTTATTATTGTAGCTTTTAGCTTTACTCATGGTAATAATACCATAGAAGTTCAAGTAATATACAGGGTGAATAAAAAGTCAAGACCCATCTAATATTTTTTCAAGTAAATATACAGAGATATCATTTTGGTGGTCGTGCAATCTTAGCAGGAAGTTTTATTTTATGATTTTGAAATATTTGAGTTGCCCCCCAAATCCCCCCTTTTGGGGGGACACTCAAAAATTTCAAAATCATAATATGAAACTTTCTGCCAAGATTGCACGACGACCAAAAGGATATCTCTTTATATTTACTTGGAAAAATATTAGATGGGGGAGGTCTTTTTTTTCAACGCCAGTGGCATTTCACGAGAGTTACGAGAGATAAATGTACAGTGGATGTGCCGGGGATTGGACCCGTCCCTCCCGCACCGAAGTCCGAGACGCTAACCACTAGGCTAGCAACACAACCAAATAACTTGACTTTTGACTTTTGTCTTGACTTTTTATTCACCCTGTATAGTAGCTATGTAGTTTCATCTGGTCATAATAGATAATATGAAAATGGTGAACTATCAATAAATAAATGGTAAAGAAAAACCAGTGGATTATAGGCCTATTTCTCTAAATGGATTTACTCTGATTTATTAAAAAAATCAATATAACTGCAAATTAATATTACAAAATATTGAATTAATATCTTTTTCCTTTATTATTTATTATTTACAATGTATTTAGTTTTTTGTTGTAATTTGTAAAATATAAAAAACATGTTTAAAAACTAATTGAAACATTTCTGAAACCCTACACTCAGCTAATATTGAATTTAATTTTAATGATTGAATATCAAAATATGAACAATATTTTCACGTTTTATATTTTAACATATATTTTGAAAATAATAATTTCTTTTATTTTCAGAGTGCCTCAGACAACAAAAACTGGATACAAGTAAGTAAGAGTTAATTAAAGCTAAATTTAGTTTATCAAGCATTGTACTATTTTTATGACCTGATTTCAAATGCTCTATGAAAGCATAACTATTATTTTATTACAAGATTGATACTCAAACAGTAGTTATTAACAATTATTTTCCATATTACAGTATATCGCATATATTTGCTACCTATATTTAGTTTTCACACAGAAAATAAGTAGACCTGCTTCTCTGTATTTTAGAATAGTTCCCTCTCAAAAGCTTTTATTAAATAAATAAATAAAAAGGCCTTTATTTGCGAGCGAGTTTCATAATACATGGTTTTCAAACTAACTCAAGTCACTAAATCTAAACTATCCTAATATATTTACATAAGTATATACAAACAAATTACAACAGAATAATTACAATATACATTTTACATTTGTTTTTTTCATTGCGGCCCTGATTGTGTTGTACGATTTTGAACACTTGATCTCTTGAGGGAGGCCATTGTACAACCGCGGGCCGAAATAAGAAAAAGACTTTCTTCCAGCCTCAAGCCTCACTTTAGGAAAGTGAAGCTTGCGGTCGGAGCGAGTACTACGCAGACAGATCTCCCTCCTGTACTTCAGCCTCTCGCTGAGGTAATGAGGCTCTCCCAGCGTGAGCACTTTGTGGACCAGGCAGCAGGTCAGCTTTCTGCACATGTCATCCATTGGGACGAGCTTAGCAGCATCTCTGTAGGAGGACACGTGTTCAAAGCGACTAAGGCCAAAAATGAACCTTATGGCAGAATTTTGAATTCTCTGAACTCTTGCCATATCCTCCTTAGAGATGCTGTTTCCATATGCAGGAAAGCAATATGTGAAGGCTGGAAGGACCAAGGACCGCATGAGTTGCGTTTTGGCAAATTCTGGCAGGAGAGTTTTGAATCTGCTAAGACCTCTCAATCTTCCCACTGCGCGTTGGACTGCAGATGTGACGTGGTCAGAAAAAGAGAGGTCTTTGTCAAGTACAACACCAAGCGTGTTGACAGTGTCACAGACAGACAATCCCATGCCATCAAGGGTGACTTTAATGTCAGATTTTCTCAACTCCTGCATTAAAATATGTGGTCCAGTATGCATGACAACACACTTGTCAACGTTCAATCCAAGGCCATTCATGACAGACCATTGAAAAATGCTGTGCAAATCAGCATTGATGAGTTCAATTGCTGCGGATGTCATGTCTGGCTTGTATGACAAGTGTAATTGACAGTCATCAGCATACAAGTGTGCTGTACAATATTTTACACTTCTGGGCAAGTCAGACGTGTATAAATTGAACAGCACAGGGCCTAAACAACTACCTTGAGGAACACCTCGCAATTTGCAAACGGATCTGATGTCCCACTCCCAATTTTGGTAACCTGCAGTCGGGACTCCAAATAGGACCGAAACCAACATACAACTTTTTCGCTGCAACCATAGTACTTCATTTTTGCCAATAATAATTCATGATCAATAGAGTCGAATGCTTGAGAGTAATCTAAAATAGCTAATGTGCTGTAGAGTCCTTTGTCTTTGGCATCAAATAGATCAGCAAACATATTAGTCAGTGCAGTACACGAGATTGATAATCATTATGACATGAGTATGGGTGAAGGTAGAATCAGATAAATCGAGTGTGATGAACAATAATGCTAATCATAAATGTGATAAACTAAGTAAGAAGTGGCAAATAAGAATTTAATGAAGGTAGAATTAGATAAACTGGTGTAAAGTGATGAACAGAGATTGATAATCATTATGACATGAGTATGGGTGAAGGTAGAATCAGATAAATCGAGTGTGATGAACAATAATGCTAAACATAAATGTGATAAACAAAGTAAGAAGTGGCAAATAAGAATTTAATGAAGGTAGAATTAGATAAACTGGTGTAAAGTGATGAACAGAGATTGATAATCATTATGCCATGAGTATGGGTGAAGGTAGAATCAGATAAATCGAGTGTGATGAACAATTATGCTAAACATAAATGTGATAAACAAAGTAAGAAGTGGCAAATAAGAATTTAATGAAGGTAGAATTAGACAAACTGGAGTAAGTGATAAACAAAGATTGATAATCATTATGACATGAGTATGGGTGAAGGTAGAATCAGATAAATCGAGTGTGATGAACAATAATGCTAAACATAAATGTGATAAACAAAGTAAGAAGTGGCAAATAAGAATTTAATGAAGGTAGAATTAGATAAACTGGTGTAAGTGATAAAAAAAAAGATTGATAATCATTATGACATGAGTATGGGTGAAGGTAGAATCAGATAAATCGAGTGTGATGAACAATAATGCTAAACATAAATGTGATAAACAAAGTAAGAAGTGGCAAATAAGAATTTAATGAAGGTAGAATTAGATAAACTGGTGTAAGTGATAAAAAAAAGATTGATAATCATTATGACATGAGTATGGGTGAAGGTAGAATCAGATAAATCGAGTGTGATGAACAATTATGCTAAACATAAATGTGATAAACAAAGTAAGAAGTGGCAAATAAGAATTTAATGAAGGTAGAATTAGACAAACTGGAGTAAGTGATAAACAAAGATTGATAATCATTATGACATGAGTATGGGTGAAGGTAGAATCAGATAAATCGAGTGTGATGAACAATTATGCTAAACATAAATGTGATAAACAAAGTAAGAAGTGGCAAATAAGAATTTAATGAAGGTAGAATTAGACAAACTGGAGTAAGTGATAAACAAAGATTGATAATCATTATGACATGAGTATGGGTGAAGGTAGAATCAGATAAATCGAGTGTGATAAACAATTATGTTAAACATAAATGTGATAAACAAAATAAGAAATGACAAATGATGAATTAGTAAAGGTATAATCAGACAAACTAGTGAAAGTAATAAACAAAAAATGTATGAACATTATGATATGGGTATGGGTGAATGTAGGATGAAGGTATGATCCAAAATTAAGAGTTGTAATAAACAAAAATTTTAAACCAAAGTTTTAGAAACAATAATACAAAATCGATAATGTGAGAAACAGAAGATAGTATGTGGGAGTAGAATGATACAAATCCGAGTAAGTGATCAGAAGGACTGAAGGTACCAAGAGTACAATTTCCACCTCAAAGAACAAAGTTTCTTCTCTCCCTCATCTCCAGTTTGATTGCCGAATTTCTCAGTAATCAACGCCTCTGATCAATATTGAGACAAGAAACACTTCACAACTCCTTAGGAAATCCTTTCTGAATACAGCAGTTCATCATTCAAACACTCTTTCTAATTAAAAACAAAATTGCAATTTAATTTAAAAGTGAGCATTTCAGTTTTAAATAGAGTTTGATTTTTTATTTGCTTTGTTAGCTATGTTGTCAACTTAAATTAGTATTTAAAACTTATATTATTTGTGCACAGTTTGCTAAGGTATGGGGAGCCAATTTTGTCAAAAGACTACTTAATCGACAGATAGTTGGCAAACAGGATACATTTTATGGGAGTTAATGATATAACATTGAAATGGGTATGGGTATACATATAACTCGCCTGACAATCAAAAGGTCGACGGTTCGATCCTGAGAAACGTCAGTAGCTTTTTGATAGTTCAAAACTGGACGCATTTGTTTCTGATAGGCCAATGAAACAGCTGATTTTAGTCAGTAACAAAGCTACACAGATTCACACAATTATACTCTCATCCTTTACTCATATTTGTATTAAAATACACACCTAGGCTGCGTCCCCAATGATTGATAATTAATTACAGTAAACCAAAACTTTAGAAACAATAATACAAAATCAATGATGATCGACTGTTTATGTTCGCAAAGTCTTATTTAAAGGGAGTTAGTCTAAAATTTTGCTTTAACATTATTTAACAACTCTTAATTTTGGATCCCACCTTCATCCTACCATAGATTAAACATACTCCCCAAGATCCTACATTCACCCATACCCATATCATAATGTTCATCAATTTTTGTCTTTCACTAGTTTGTCTGATTATACCTTTACTAATCCATCATTTGTTTCGAGTGTCCATCGGTTTCCCCATTTAAAAAACAACTTTTTTAGAATTTTAAGAAAAAAATCACATTTACCCCACAATATCGCCTGAACCGTTTATAAGTAGATAGGTATTGTATGGTATCATTTTGTTCGAAATTTAATAGAGATTATTTTTGTAATTCATTGTATTTTGAGAAAAATTCACCGTTTTGAGTAATTTGCGAAAAAGTAAAAAAATCCTTTTTTCAACCCCTCCCCCTCCCTAACCCGACACTCAAATCATTGTAACTTTTTTGTATATATTGAGGGAAGTGTATTTGACAATTTGGCGCTGGTTTGAATTTTTTTTTTATGTCCCGGTTTGAAATTTGTTTAAGCTAATTGCACTGTGTGAGGCAAAACCCAATTCTCTTTTTATAGAAGCAGTTAATTATTAACACTCTCATACTATTGCAAGTCCAAGTAATAATCAGGTAGATATTTCAAATTTCAAATATTAAAAAAAATTCAATTTTGCATGTGACATTTTATAGTTTTCTGCTTAGGTTATCACTGGAAATTGATCTTAAAAATTGAAATCTTCAATCTACTGTATGTTTGTAAATTTTTATGAGATAAATTTTAATACAAGGAAGAGTATTTATCAAACACATGGAATGTCAAACCAAGTTCAGAAAGATAAGGTTCATATCTTCATCAAACATTTATACCTTATCAATTTTCATTCTGTTTGTGTTTTTGTTATTTATATTGCTACAAATATTAAGCTGGGAAATTTTTACTTTCATTCTGAAGACTTAATGTACTAATCTTTAGGATATCTATTATTTCAAAACTACAGTACTTAAAAATGAAATGTTATGACTTTAACAACTTTTTTTAAATAATGAAATAGGATAATAAAACTTAAACTGTTCGTTTATTGAGTAATTTTATTCCTAATTTAAATGTACTGCATATTAATATTATTATAATGTACTGTTTTTCCATAATAACAGAGGTTTCCTTTTAATAAATCCTATCGATAAAAAATTTAAATAATTTAAATTGCATTAGAATTATCCTTATTGCTGTTAACTGAGGTCTTGCAGATAAGATGCTTGCATCAATCTATCAATTTTTCTATACCTTTCATGGCATCTACAGGAGTCATCTTAATTCATCGATCTTCTCATTACTAACTCTATAGTCTATATTTACAAAAATATTTACAAACACACGGTCACTAGTATCGCGGTTGGGTCCATACTATAGGCCACTTTTGTGAAATATTTGTAAATATTTTTGTAAATATAGACTATAGTGTGATTAGAAGATGAATTAAGAAGACCCCTGAAGATGTCACACAAGGTGGCGAAATGCAGGTCGACACAAACATCTTATCCACAAGAACCCAGGCAACAGCAACAAAGATAAATATGATATAATAAAAAAAATATTAAGTTTATTTAGTTATAAATACATACTAGACCATTTCTGAACACAAACCCTTTTTTTAATATCCATACAGTAATAAAGGCTTGAAAAAATCACAACACAGGTCACAAATTCCTTGACACAGTTGTTTGAAAATTATTTAAAATTACATAACTTGAAGATCGGTTCCATAACACAGTAACGTACGTTATTCTACCTTGGAACCGATGTTAACAATGCAAACAAGTATTCCGATAATTTACTATTTAATTATGTTTGCCCCGGTTTGCAAGGCACTTTGATTAGATAAGAGCAGTGTAAGAAAGGCACCTACGTCCCAGCAACATGGCTTCGGTAAGTTTTGGACCTTAGAAAAGTTTGATTCCATTGGACACTTGGTCTGATAACGGTATTAAGTTGTCTTCCCTAAACTTAACAAGCACCCATAGGAAGTGATGGTTTATCAATAAACCCATTCATCCTCTTTGATATACAGAATAGTAATTGTGAAAATATTTGATATTTTAGAATTATCTCTCCTAAAATTTTTAAGTAGGTTGTTGGGAAAATGGTTTTTGGTTTTAGTCGGGATTACTTAATTGACAGTACGTTTTTGATAAGTCTGCTTTAAAGAGCTATGTATTGTCACATATGGTGCGTCTGCCATATGCTTAAAAATTGAAATATTTAATGGAAAGTGGTTTCAGCTCATAATATCTTTTTTTATACCATTATTCATCTGACCACGTTTTTCCACCAGAGAAATGTATTGTATGTGTAATTATGTATTTACTCATGTAAAAGAACCCAGCAAAAATTGAAAAAACATTAATTGGAAAATGTAGCTAAAAGTTGGTGGTATTGTGAAATCACTTCCAAACTAAAATAAGATGTAATTAATATCCTATTAATAGATTTATTGTTTTCCTTGTAAAAAAGAATCACATTAGCTTAATAGACTTTCCATTTCTTCGCAAAATTATTAATTATAATGTTCAGATGAAAACCATGTAATATCATGAAAAAAACTCAGTTCAAATAAAAAATAGCTATGAAGCCACACTTCTCAGTTAATTTGTATAAATCTTTAGTTAGGTGCGCAAATAAAAAACTAAGCACCGTTAATTAAAAAATAATGTTTAAGTGGATTTCCTATTGTCACCAACCTGATGACATGTTTTCATTATTTTAAGAGACCTCTCATATTTGCTGTTAAATTATCTACAGTAAATTGATTCAATGAATTTGTTTGAATGCTGCTGTGTAAACACTGATGGTTTTATTTAAGTGGACTTATAAGATTTAGTTTTATAGCATTAAGTAGGCTACCGTAACAATTTTATCAAAATTATCTTGAACTGCCATATTATTCAAACATGGTGGAAATGGGAATAACATTACATTTAAAGGTTTGTTGCGGACATTTTCCATCACGATGGTAAAAAAAAAAAAACACAACGTTTCAGGATCTGCTATACAGTGCATATTTTTTTACTGCTACCCTCTGTAGTGTATTCCAACTTAGGTTGGGCGTTTGTGTATTGTTAGTTGTAATGTGTTAGTTAAGTTTTTTTCACCTGAGGACGGGATCAGATTCCAGATCCCGAAACGTTGTATAGGTATTGTTTTTTTACCATCAAGATGGAAAATGTCCGCAATAAACCTTTGAACAACATTAACTCACCATAACCAACAATGAACTTGGAACTTGGAACAATGAACAAACAAAGAATTACATTTAAATGGGGATAGGTCAACGTCAACGTTATTTATTTACTAATTTGAATTTTTCCACTTTGAACTGGTACAAATATGCCAAAAAGAGTTGTTTAGCAAATTCTCCTATAGGGAAGTAGCTATTATCATTATCCCAATAAGTAGGTGGCACAATAAGACCTAGACTTGGGATCTATTTAATTTTTCATTTTGATGTCCACAGAGGCCAGGCCAAAAACACTATATTCGTTCAAATTTTTTTATTTGTACATATGTCTGTGAACGCGATAGCTTGAGTAATTTTGCTAATTTGAAAGTATGAATTTAGGTTAAAAAATTATCCAATTAGAAACAAATAGTTGAATGTTCATTTCCTAGCTCTAATGATGGCTGAAAAAACAATGACTTACATAGTGTTAGAGTTTTCATTTCAAGTATTTTATGTATCCAAGAACAAAATTAAAAGCGTCACATTATTTAATATTAAATGCAAACCGTGACATGAAAAAACTAAAATATTTGTAACCTAGTAGCCTGTGTAAACGTAATAAAATTTGTCAAAACAAATTGTTAAAACCGTTCCTGTTTTACCGTCTCGTCGTTAAAAAGCCAGATCCAGCTCTCCAGAGCCCCAGTTAATGTTGTAACTGCTGTGAAGATGAGCTAATCCACCTATACTCCATTCCACACACATTCAGTGCAGTACAAAGTATCTTGCCATGAGTTTCAAAGGCAGTTTCAGCGACACTAGCCTTCCTAAAAACATCATGATCACTAGGTTTATTTTACTAATTTTAATGTTTTTTTGTGGTTTTATACTACTAATTTTGCCTATACCAAAATAAAAATCCAAACTGTTGAGTCAAAACCCCAAAAAACTTAATAAACAGTATAAAAGCTCAGAGATAAATTGAATTTACTTGTTATTGCCCAAGGATAGTAAGGGTAGTGGATCCAACTCACATTATTGTTTTGGTGTTTCCAGTAGTTTCCAAAGCAAGACTTTTTTCTTTAATCTGAACGATGGATGTGTAATTGAGTTAGGTTTGTAAAGAACAGTCCTACACTATTTGGTTTATTGTAAATTTTAACTTCACAGGTCACTTGAAAAGAAAAGAGGGGATGGCGCACTACGCTGGGTGCCAATATATTACGGGTGACAATAAAACTTGAATGAGGGATAAAACTGTTAAAACTAAAAAAAAACATTTTTAGGCATATCAATTGCAAACACTTTCTTCGCTCTGTCTCCTAGCCTGAAATCTATACCCACACACTACTTCCTGTAGCGACTAGATTCCAAAAAAACCTTTACCACACCTCTCCCACACTGACTAATCCAGAATGTCCCCCCTGAAACTTCCATATAGTCACAGAGAAGTGAAGTACAGAGGAAACACTCAATGGTACACTTAAGTGGTGTCTAGGACTAGTGCTGGTGTCTAGGGCAAGTCCAAAACCACCTCCCACACCCTCATTGTGGAGGAAAACCCTTGTGCAGCAAGAATTTCTGCACAGTGCTCAATGTTCGGACTCTTCCTTTCTTGTCACAAGTATATTTCTGGCACAAATACTAGAGCTGGAAAGCCCACGGTTGACCCATAAGCAAGTTTTCTCTGTAACTTACTCCTCTGTGATGTAGTTCAAAATCCGAGTTAGCAACAAAAACTGTGTTTGCAGGACGTACTAGGATGGTTGCGGATGCCGAAGTGCTCCAAGTGGTGCTTCTTCGTCAGCATCGCGTTCGCTGTTGTTGGCATCACTGCTTTCATCATCTACACGGATCTGCAGAAGAAGGATACAGGTCCTGCAGAGCCCCCGCCACCTCCTCAACCGCAGAAAGCTCCATTCCTCAAGGATTACTTCTTGTACCACACCATCTCTCCGTCGCTCTTCAATGGAACTTTCATTACAGGTAAATGATTGGAAATCAGAAAAGAAGTATGAGTTTACTTAACTTTCTTATTGCAATAGGTAACGGGAAAAGAGTCTATAAGCTACAAATATATACACAAATTCTATTAGAAAAATTTTGATACTTAAGTTAGACATTCATTGCCAAACAGTCATCAGCAATTGCTAGTGAAACCGCAAGACTATTTATGAAGGGGATGTCAGGGAATTTGTTTCTTTGAAGTGGGTTGTGCAATTGTGCATATGTACTGGGAGTTCATATATTCATAAGTACAAATTCAAATTGGTACTACATAACTAAGAGCCAGTAAATTGGTGAATAAAGCATGAAACTTCTCTCAAAAAGGTCTAGGTTTTTGGCTATTTGATAATACTGTGACAAAGTAATTTAGAGAAAACTTCAGCTCCCCCTATTTAGAAAAAAATCAGACAAAATAACATATTCATGGTTCTCATATTCTTGTTTGAGTTATTTTGGAGTGTTGGAAAAAGTTTTTACGAATTTGGTTTTCTTAATTGTTGTACTGTATACTGTATACTGTACTTAGTTTGTATACAATTATACCTAAAACACACAACTGTCCTTCAATATGTTTAATATGTTAATATTTTAGTATGTTTAATATGCCTATGACTTACACATATCTTTAATCTTTTATCTTTAAATGATTACAACAATAACGACCAACGAGTGTTCCTATTTTAATCACCTAGATATGCCCAGTTAAACTAAACTGTAATTTATTTCTATTTCAGGTAAAGACTTCTACTACTACGATTCACTGCGAAACTTGAAAGTCTTTGACTTGGAAACGAAACGAAGCGATGTCATCCTTCCTTTTACTAGTTGGGTAAATATATTTATAAACGTTTACTACAAATTTATTCCTGAGCTTAGGCTGTATTTTTTTTTTAATTGCTCTATCACCCAATTTGTGTTATGGGTATCAAATATTGACCATGAAGATGTGACGAATGTGAAAATGTTACGTTAACTTTAGTTTTTAAAATTCAAACATACATATTGAAAAATAAATTATATTTTTAGAAATTGAATTATTAAAATACTCATCTTGTTTAACCGTAACTAAGTGACTTTGAGCAAAATAATTTATTAAAAAAATATTTATTTTTTTATTTTACTCTCAGTCTCTATCTTGACATACTTCCATTGTTTTATAATTAATTTATAACTAGTCTTGCCCAATCTATGCTTTGAGAAGTAATTATTTATCTTATTTTAGTGTATTCCATACAATTATTTTGATTTTTTTTATCTAATCTAAATATTTTTCAGATATTGTTGAATGGTACTTTTGATTTCTGGTTTTCCGAAGATCTCCAGTATATGATGTACGCATCTTACAATAACCCTGTAAGTAGTACATCAAACATAATTATACATATTTACATGATTCAAACTATTTAAACTGTCTTACTGTACAAAATTATATTAATTACTATACAAAACTAGCATTTTTATACTAAATTAACTTTTGCACAGAATTTAGATAAAAAAAATATATATTAGTTTTTCCTTTATTTTTATTGTTTCTAACAATAAATAAAAGGACATTATTGTACATATAGTTTGAACTCGTTTGAAATCAGTTTTGTAATACTTTTGATTGAGTTAATGTTAGCTTTCATGAGAGGGGGGAACTGGTAATGTGAAAAAATAAAAATAAATGTTCTTAAACTAACAATCAGACTTTATAGCTTTTACAAAAATAATTGAAAACTGTATTTTTATTTCAGATTTATAGGCACTCCTATTATGCCATCTACCAAATATATAGTTTCAAAACGAGGTAAGTACCTACTGAACTTACTTTAACATTTACAGATTTTTAAAAGGATTTGACTTATTTATTTTTACTTTTTTCTGTTGAGGCAATATTTTTGTGTAGTGTGCATCCTGTATTCCATACGTAATATAAAATACATCATGATGTATAATATATAGTCTTGTATGAGGGTGATACTTTGTTAATACAGATCCAGTCATTTACTTGGTACACTCACACTGCATTTAATCATAGATAAAACATACTCCCTTGTGTTGCTTAGTCTATGATTTAATATTGAATCATCCTAATAGATAATTGTGGATGTATAGTTTCTTCACTTCTTCTGTAAATTAGGTAAAAACAAACATTGGCTCAAAAATATGCTTTATCCTCCTCTGATTGTGAACTAATCAATTAATTGTTTAATATGTGTTTATTATTGACACAAAACTACAACCATAAACGTTCAAAGGTATTTTCTCAAGAAGTACTCATCATTTAAAAAACCTTATTGAATTTTTCCTAAAATTATTTCTACATCTTTTCTTATATTCATAGCAGATGCGAGGAATAAAATCGAATTAGTTGTAACATGTAAACAAAAGTTCATAATGTTTTTCTGTTTCCAGAAAAAGCACATATGTAACCACTAAGTCATTGCAACTCGCTGTCATGGCTCCGAAGACCAACTCGATCGCCTATGTGGACAAGAACAACATTTACTACAGAGAAAAACCTGAAGATGAAACCAACGATATTCGCATTACCTCTGACGGAATACAAGGGAAAATATACAATGGAGTTCCTGACTGGGTGTATGAAGGTAATTTTATTAAATTTTGAAATTGCATGACATTTTCTAGCAGTTTTTGAATATAAGTATAAAATACTTCAAGGCTCCGTTTCGTCTGGAAGAAATATCCCATAATATCGGTAGGATATCCTCACAATATTTTTATGTCCTCTTCTGACATCCGTAGGACTGAAATGGGTTATAATATCGTCTGCAGGAAAGAGTAATAATGAACATTCTTTAGAGAAAAAAGAGAAAATATTCTCTATTGCAAATTTCTGTATACAAATTACACATTCCCTGTGAGTGTGATTGAATCGGTTATTTGAGAAAATGTGTAAATAAATATTTGGCCAAATTGCATAAAATATGTGTTTAAGGTAACTTATTCTCAAGGTATCATTTAATGTCACTATGGCTTGTGTTGTTTAACTTGTTTCTCAAATTACCGATTAAAATATCCCCTAGGTATGAATAAAACTAACAGAAGTAACTAAGAAAAACTGTTTACTACTGACAGCAAAAGTTTTACTTAAATGAGTTTTACTTTTTTACCTTTTTGCTAAATTTGGCAATGTCTTTCCAGAGGAGATTGTGTCGTCCAACTCGGCACTATGGTTCTCCAAAGAAGGCAGTTACTTGGCGTACTTCAAGTTTAACGATTCCAACGTCTTGATTCAAGCCATCCCCGTCTACGGACCTCCCAACCTAAGGCAATGGCAATACACACGATATGACCAGATACACTACCCCAAGGTAAAATTTGTGTTTGGTTTTGGTTTAGTTTAAAGAGCGAGCTGTCGTCTTTAGGTAATTAATTATATATTCAGTTTTGATAGGACTTAAATATAAAGAAAACCACTTTGACAGACGAATCAATGCTACTAAAAGTACTGGTTAAAAACCAATAGTACCAATGAATAAGCTTGCTCACTACTTATCTGCACAGCAACATATAATTAATATTTCATTTTTATTGGAAAAATGAAGATAGAACATTACAGGTATATTAAAAGCCAAACACAATTCCTTTAGGTTCCTCATGTAAAAAATTGTACATGTTGACAAGTTTTTCTCCAAGGCATGAGATTTGAATAAATATCCTTTGTTTCCGTTCAAATTTTCAAAATTTTGATTTTTACGAGTATATTATTGTCAGTAATCAAAAGGCTCCTACTTCAGCTAAGCTTCACCTATATAATTTGTTAGTAGACTAAGATTTTGTTTTGACTTACTTCCATCTTTTGCAGGTCGGAACTCCAAACCCATCTATTTCCGTTCATGTTGTAAGTCTCAAAGACGTCAACAACTCTTCAGAACCAACCATTTACAACTATCCTGCTCCCGTGGCAATGCTTGACGGCAGGTTTGTGCAGTTTCAAGTTTAATTAATGCCACCATCAAACAATAGGCTACAGAAACAATGATTTTCTAATTCAAACCGCTGAGTGGGTAAAACATTGGACTAAATAATTCAATCAAAAAAGCTTAAGCAAATTCATCTTGCAATTCCTTTTTAAAAAGCTGAATCAACATTTAATTGACATTGATCACAGCAATGTTGTGGATTTATGCTTTCAGTGTTACCAATAATGCATTCTTAGTCCTCTCTGATTCTTCTCTGAACCTGCTTACATTTTGATTTGCTTGGTAACTTTTACACTCAATGATGGGAAAATGCAAGACTAAGTAAGCCAACCTCTTTTGAAAAATCATTTTTTAAACCATACAGCATTGTAGGACGGTATTATGTGAACTTCTCTCATATTTGTACCTTTGCATTTTTTTGCATTTCAATTGTTCATATCATTGTGTACGGATTCTATTCTTAACTTTCCTAAGCCTTTTTTCCTCAATTTCTGAACAATCTGTAAAATTGCTCTCTTTGTGTTCTAGAGAGCCCATTGCCAGTCTACTCGCGTGGGCCAATGATACTCAATTCATCATCATATGGCTCAACAGATACCAGAACATGTTGGTTATGGAGCTGTGTAGCGTTGGAGATGATAATCCTTGCCGAGTGGTCAGTATATTCATAATTACTTGATGAGAACTTTATTGTTTACACAAAAGTAAAGAACAGAGTTTTTTGATGAAAGAAGACATTTACGTTTTTATATATAGCCGATATCACAATACAACAATACTCTGACTTCCACACAGTTACAAAAACGTCTGTAATGGCTTACTAATCTTGTTTTGTTTTAGTGTCTCACCAATCATGATGACTCACTTAAAGAAGGATATTGCAAATTACTGAAAAAAATAGTATTTGGTACAAGTATTTAATTTGAACAAAACCAAAACATCTTTTTGTATCAAACAACAACACGCATCTAACAGATTTTGTTTACATTCTCTTTAAAATAAATTAGCATATGTCTCATATTATTAACAAGCATGCTAATTAAAAAAGTAACATAACAGCTGGTAATTTAAAGCCAGTAAACAAAGAAGTTAACAAAAGATAGTGTTTCAGGCCCAAATCCTGTAAGCTTTATGAAAATAATTTTCAAGTGATGGAAAATAGCCGAAGTAAACATTATTTGTTCACAAGGTGTTCGAGTACGCCGAGACAAGCGGTTGGCTTCAGCTGGAAAACCCCAAGTTCGACCGTGCTGGCAACCGCATGATCTTCACTTGGTGGCATAAACAAATCAACGGTGACTCCTACCCTCATGTTACCATGTTGGACCTGACGCAACTGGATCCAGAGCCAAAAGCCATTACCAGCGGGCTCATGTCAGTCTCCGAGATAGCAGGGTGGAACTTTGACACTGACGAGATGTGAGTTGCATATCCAAACCAATGTAAAAATATACACTTACGAAAATCAACAATATCTTCAAACAATAACTTATCAAACTATTGGGAAATTAATTTACAATAATATAATTGTTTGAAACGATTTTAGGTAAGATCTTTTGATACTTCCTAAAGTGCTAAATACGGCTTGCTTAGATTATGGAATTCACCTTTGAATACAGCACAAGTGAAAATTCATGGGAGAATAAAATAGCCAGGTGCAGTATCCTACCAAGCTGGTTAGAGTGCTTCCTTGTAATCTAAAATCCTGCTGCTTTAATCTTAAAAAATATAAAGTGATTTTTAACGATTTCAAAATGGCTTAGAGGTGGCTGATAATTAGGATTTTTGTGGGAAGGATCCTATAACTAAAGAGTTATCCTTGTCTTTATTCATAGTTTGCATAATTCATGTCCTAAGGTCATCATGATGTTTTCTTAAACTACAAACCGGCCCTGGTGTTAAGGAATTCCTACTAACATTTTAGAAGTAGTGTTTCTTAAATAAAAATAAAACTGCCGTATTTTCTTTTTCCTAGGATGAGATGTAAAAATTACAAGCCTGAGTCCTCATTAACAATATATTTAACCTTCTTTTAACAAAATACAGTACTGTATACAAATACAAAGTACATAGCACAACACACAGAGATTGCATTGTCTTATAAGACTTAAATCGTATAAGACATCAAAGGTTGATCCTTATGAACAACAAAAGCATATTTGAAATAACTTTTCCAGATTCTTTGTCGCCTCCACACCAGACACTCCAGAGCAGCTTCGCACATACAAAGTGTCCGCGCGATCACCGCACGAGATCACTTGTATCTCTTGCCAACATCAACATGTGGTCGACGGCAGCAACTGTACGTACGCTGGCGCATTGTTCAGCACCAACGCTCACTTCTACGCCCTCAGCTGCGCTGGACCCAACGTGCCTGAAGTTACCATCTTTGATGCGGTAAGCCAATAATTTTTTTTTTTTTTAAGGTTGGAAGCCTTTTTAAAATTGCATTTGACCCATCCACATGGGTCACAGAGGCCTATATGTGGAACATATCTGGCAAATCAACGTGTGAGCTTCAGTACAATGGTCAAGTGTAATGATAAAAAGTTATAGTAGGTACCAGGATCCGAGCCCATGGCATCGGAGCCTTGGGCTCGAAGTCTGCAGCACTACCGACTCTCCATATTGAGTGATGTAATGACTTCAACAACCAATGACATTATTGTTGACATACCCCTTAGTTTTGTGTATTTCAAAAGTGATGTAAATTGAAATGCAATAAAAATTGTAACTAAATTGATCGATGGAGGCTAATAAATATTATCTTTTAAAAGCTCCATCTAAGATATCTTAAATCAACAGTCCCCTAGAGCATAAGCCCTAGGGCCATAATCAGAACAAGTCTTGTACTGTAATCTGTGGTCTGTTACACATTATCTTAGTACAAAATGTTAACTAGTTTGGTCACTTGATATTTGTGTGGTTAAAAGAGAGAGACTATCGTTTGATGCTTTTACAATAGTGAAGAAATTATAAAAGCCTAGAGGTCTTTGAACCACTGGATTTGCAAGATTTGAACTAAAAAATTCCAGAAAATCTGGCAACCTTAAGACAATTTATACTGAACTCAAGACTGTTCATATTTTGTGAGTTTATAATATCCATACCCATAATTTGTGCAAGGGTTCAAAAATAGATAATTTTGTTGTTTTCAGTCTGGTAATGAACTGATGGTCTGGGAGGACAATGTCAAGACCAGGAATTTTGTTGAAGCCATCAGAATGCCAGTGCGAAAGGTATCAACTAAATAGTCTTTGGTTTTATAGGAAAAAAATTTAATTTATTGTAGTTTTATAAGTTAAAGTGGTATTACGGAACTCTAACTATGTAATTTTATATTACCAAGGACCTTAAAAATAATTTTGTCTTTTTTATGAACATATAAATACAATAATAATGAGCAAAATTACGGAATTAAAAAACATTATACGAGCAAGACAGTACTGATTTAGTTTACAGGTGTTGAGTTTTGGTAAGACTCCATGTCATTTTATCCATGTGGATTAATCAAAACTTCAGCCAATATTGTCAAGCTTACATATAATATCCTACAATTTTTGTGCAGATGTTTATGTTCAAGAGTCAAAAAGTTCAGTAATTCATTCTTATAAGTAAGACATCTCGACATCTGAAATAAGAAGTAAAACTCAACACAATTAGCTGTTTGTGTAATTTTGTCCTTATAATTTCCTCCCCAAGATGAACTACTCGCAATAACGCTTAGCCTATTGGATTACAAATATACACATTAATAAGAAAGTATAAACATATTATATAACATATTATGTGTTTCTGAGGTGATGACAGTTGAAGTTGAGGACGGTTTCTCTGCCAGAGTCCAACTTCTTCTGCCTCCTGAGCTCGCGGACTTTGACGAGACAAAGAACTATGGCAAGAAATACCCCATGCTGGTCAATGTGTGAGTATGTGAAAGGTTGTGGTTGGTTGATGATTGAGAGATACTTTTGGAGGTTTGACTGTGAGAGAAACATCGGATTCCTAAAAGCAAAGAGGGAAGAGCAGAAAGCTGGCCAGTGATCAATACTTTTTTTTAATCTAATCATACCTATAGTAAAATTTTCTCAGGATTATTGTCTAGATTAAAATGTTCAAGGTACGTTTGGTGACTGTTTTCAGGTTTCAAGTAATCAAAACAACCAATAAATCTGAAGGAATAGATGGTTCGGTCTAAGAATTGTTCAAATAAAAGTGATCGGAAACTGTGGATTTCTAACAAGCTTGGAGCAAACTGAACAAAAATCATCAATGACTGCAATCATAAAAGATAACATTATGCTTTAACTCGATGACGATTATTCCTAACATCTCAAGTTAATTGTAAGGTTAATTTCTTACAATTCCACCAGTACTAATACTAATAAAACTTTCCTCATCAGGTATGGAGGGCCGGACTCATCCATGGTCAAGGATATGTTCAACACAGACTTCAACACGTACATGGTCGCCAACAAGTCCATCATTGGCGTGTCCATCGACGGAAGAGGCAGCAACCTGATGGGTCTGCGCGCCAGATACGCGATCTACAAGAAACTGGGCGTCGTAGAAGTGGACGATCAACTTTCTGTCATCAGGTGATACTACAACTTTCAATTATAGTCTGTTCAAAGGATTTAGGTGGTTTGAGGGTTGACATCACCATTACGAAGAATGAGCCTCCGCGGCCTCCTATGGGGGCTGACCTCGTTGTTGTGATGAAAACATGATAAGTTAAAAGTAGGCCTATACTTAATATTGCTACTTGTCCCATTTCAGTAAGAGGTGGGGGTCGGGTTAAAATAATATGGATTTGCTATTGAGTAGCGAAATATTGTGCAGAATGTCATGTCTCCAGGGATGCATGATTAACAATTATCTTCTTGATTCTAGGTATCTGCAAGATAAGTACTCCAACGTTATTGACCGTAACCGCACAGCATCGTGGGGCTGGAGTTACGGAGGCTACGCAACCGGAATGATGCTCACAGGGGACCACGAACACAGAATCAAGTGTGGAGTGTCCATTGCTCCTGTGACGGACTGGGTGTACTACGGTAGGTGTCTAGGTGGAAAAACAGCTAAGTGTTGAAAACATGGTTGATTTCTGGCAGAAACTGGAAAGAAAATGTATGGTGAAATTGTGTACTGTGTGTATACTATTAATACATATAGTATTAAAATTTAATTTGTTATTTTCTGACAACATGAGGGAAGAGGATTGGGCTAAATATTTATAATAGTTACTGGAGACAACCCCTCAGCTAATTTGTACTGTATGTTGTATGACAATCTAATATTCTTTTTCAACTACGGGGTCAGCAATTCTCTATGGTTTGAAAGAGAAAAGATTTACAAACTCTAACATTAAAAAACAACTGATTAGGCAACAGTAAACTATTATAAATCAATTGAAGCTAAACTTCATGTAAGAAGTTTAGCATTTTTGTCTTAGAAGCTGCTACAGTTTTAAATGATTAATTTTGCCAGTTAAATGACAATATTTTTCAGCAAATATTTTATCATGTCTTATGGTTTGATAAAACATGAAAAAGCTTCACTTTAACATTTTACTCTATTTTCAAAATAAATTTACACTCTTGACCAAACAACACTCTACAAACGCCTCATTTACGAAATTACGATACTTAGCAAATGTTTTACTTTTGCCCTCAGACTCGATATACACTGAGCGATTCATGCAGACCTATGAGGAGAATTTGCAAGGCTACATGCGAGCGTCTCTGCTAAACAGATCGTCCAAACTCAAGGAGAAGGAGTTCTTCTTGATCCACGGAACAAAGGATGATAACGTCCACTACCAGAACTCCATGCAGTTGGCAAAACTGTTGGCCCGAAGTGATATTCCCTTCCGTCAAATGGTTAGTATTACATTCCTGATGTTTTGCTATCTGAGTCTTATTTTGACCTGCACACTTCAAACAGCATGTATGATCGGACGCCTGTTCTATTAAGTTAATAATTAGTCTTTTGTGTCACAAAATGGTTGTTTTTAGGTTCTAGCCCAGAATTGTTTTCTACATTAGAGTGAAAATTTAAAAACGTACGTTTTCATGTCCCTGGCCTTTTACTTCGTAGATACTAGATTTGTAGTTTATTATTATGTGTTTTAATATTTTTTGGGACGGGGGCAACATGTTACACACATTTATTTGGTTTTAAATAGGTTCTAGGTATTTTTTTCGTATTTTTAAAGTCTCGAAATTCACGACCATGACGTGTCCCTAGGGTACATTTTCCAACTTTCACGCTGTTTTTAGACTAATTATTCATGCCGAAATATATAAAGCCATATTTTTATGTCACCAATGGTTATTAAACTTACAAAAAAGGAGCATATTAGAATTTTATTGTCATTGCAAACTGACTACCATGACAAAATAAGTCTGTCCCTCGATTTGGCATCACGACCATTTGGGAAAATTTTTCAACTTTGGAGCACGACAGTGGCAAGCCTGGCGTCGATGGAGTCAGTTGGTTTTAGAGACTAGTTCGGGGTGTACGTCAGGATTGTAGTGCCGGTCGTTTCGAGTTGAAAGGAGGAATTACAAGATTAATAAAGGAAAGATTGTGTTTTTTGTAATTTTGGTGTGTCCATGACCGTACGTAGTCATTCGATGAAGTAGACATGGTGTTAATTTTTGTTTATAAGATATTTCAATTGCTAGATTAACCTAGAAGTCCACTTTGTATCCTCGAACATGAGGTGCAGGGCTACCGCCAGAACAGAGCCAAATAACACGTAATTTCACGACCAAAGTTTCACGACCATCGCGGTTTTTTTCACGACCAATCCAGCCTTATGGATTATAGTGTGTTTGGTCGTGACAATAACTTTAATATAATTGTAATTTGAACAGCTTAGTTCAATTGAAACACATATTTTTATTATAACTAAGAGTATAATTGAAGGATTGTTTAGAAAGATTTAGATTATTTCGGAAAATTCACGACCATACCGCTTGTCCCTGACCATCACGTTTATGATTTCTATCATAAAAATTTCAAAAATTAAAATATCGTCATATTTTAATGTTTTATATACAAAAGAAGCATACCTCTGCACAAACATAACGATTTTTCGGGCCTCAGGTAAGTTTTTTCGGAGTTATACAAACTTAAAAAGATTTTATTGGCTTTTTTTCAATTTTTTGAGTTTTTTTATTTTTTTCTAGAAAGACCAAATATACCAAAAGCTCAGTGACCTTTTTATTGTTTAATGGTCATAAATGTAAATTAGTTTATAGCAAAACATAGTTATAAAAATAATATTAACTATTTTTAATATTCATTTAAACGTCTGTTATGGTCGTGACATGATTTTGTTTTTCCACTAAAGATGCTCTTTAAAAAAAAAACTACCAAAGATATTGCGTTACCATGGACATTTTATGAAACTTCAAATGTTAATTAAATCAAAATAATAATAAAAGTTTTGAAAAAAGGGGAAAAAATTTGCAAAGTGCTTTTCCTGAAAACGTACGTTTTTAAATTTTCACTCATTACTTAAAGGGGGATCGCAGCATTATCACTTTAGATAAAATTCACTGATGACTTTGGTGGGTGGAATTTGATCCTAAAACCTCGGGGAATGATGCCCTGTGCTCTACCATACTTCGCTTCCCTGTAACAACGCTACTTAATTCAATTGTACTAAATTAAAAAAATTAAGACTCATTTAATGTTTAAATTTTCCTCGACTAGTCATGACGTATTTTTTTCAGGTTCTTAAAATAATTAAGCCATAAAATATTGATTAAAGAAACTTGGTTTAATCAAATTTTTACCAGTAGTGTTTTTTATGCACTTACTTATTACAAAATGATGTTTCAGACGTATCCTGATGAAGACCACGCTTTGAAATTTGTGCAACCGCATTTCTACCACGCAATCGAAGATTTCCTAGATGAATGCTTCTTCGAAGATTCATGATACTCTGTGATCCTACTATCTGTGTTGTTGTGTTCAGTGTAAATGTTGAATGTTGTTTTTATTACAGAATTTTATTTATATTATTTAAGTCAACTAGAATCAGACCCTTCGATAGTTCTTTTTTAGCATTATAATTAGTCACAATTGAATTGTAATGTGTTTTAAGCCTGAAAGTTATTTACAATTTTAACTATGTTTTAAATTCCAATTACATCAGTATTTTTCAATGTGTAACGTCTTTTTAATGTTTACGTTTGTTCCTTTTCAATATATTCGATGTATTTTTTGATTGTATTTTGCAAAAGTTATAGTTTTAACATTCCCTGACGAAAAAGAAGAAATCATATCTCGTATGTTCAATGTCAAAATTAATCCCGAAAAAATATTTCTATCAATCTAAGTAGGTAATAATAATAATACATACAAAATTATTACTTTTTTTTGTCCTATCGGAAATAATAGCTCAAAGTAAGCTAGAAGCTCTTGCATCAAAGAACTTGTAATATTTTCTTTTGTATATACTTATTCGCCTTGTAGTACTTAAAACGTGTACAGGATATCACAGATCAAAGATCTAAAAATACTTACCTTAGATTGTGAATTTGAAGATACCTCACAGTCGTTTGAAGATGTAAATGTTTTATGTATGTAACAAAATGTCTCAGATAGGTTAAGTTGAGCATTCTGAAGTATTGTACAAGTATTTCAGTAATAAATATTGTTTGATCACATTGATCACTTTAACAATGTATTCTTTTCACCCAGAAACCTTACTCTTTACTCTGATCTTAAATTGGGCTGTACCAGCCACCTCTTATAACGTTCGACGTTCGAACTGGCAGCCGTACTCATGATTAACTCATCCGCCCGGCACACACGCTAGGCTATAAACTTCAACGAGAGTATTGCTGCTCTGTATCAATGAATGAAAGTATGTAAGTGACATATTAGTGGATTTTAGGGTATGGTAAAGTAGACAAATTAGAATCATACCAAGATATGTCTAACACTAAAAATACAAACACATATTTTTTTAATTGCATTTATTGTATTTTAAGTACAATTAATGTGGAAATGTATGGACTTTACTTACTTACTTTATACTTGATACTTGTGTGATACTTGATACTACGTCCTTGACCGACAATCTCGGATAGACTGTGTTAATATATACACGGTATAGGCCTACATTAAAAAATAAACACTACTATTTACATACATGCAAAACTTTACCAGGCTGTGGCGGTAAATAAGACGAGTTACACATTTTTAGGGAAGGGCTTCTAAGTAACTATAGGGGCTCTTCACTCAGCTCCTCCAGCGAATACAGTGGCCTATTTACTAAGCTGTTTCTGATTGCCGCTTTGAAAGAGGGTGATGCTCATATCCTGCACCTTATCCGGCAAGGTGTTAAAAAGCCTTATGGCATAGCGGGGATAGCTCTTGAGGGTGCGGGTGAGACGACATCGCGGCATGTCAAGGTTGACTTTAATACACGGTAATGGTTGACTTTATTTGATTACTCCGGTAATCTCCTTCTAGAGCATAGGGTCTTGCCATTCCCCTTCCTCATTTTTGTATTTATTTCAAAGAATAACAAACATAATCATAATCATTAAATATTTCATAACTTAAAAAATACAAGTCATTGTTATTGTAAATAATTTTTGTATATCCAATACAACACATGCAAGAAAAGATACTTCCTTGTTTTATCTATGGTAGTAGCATAGATAAAACATAGGACTATGTTTTATTTTATCATGACACAACCTATCCGGCAAAGCTGGTCTTGGTGAAGAGGAAGGTAATCAGGTAATCAGGTATGTTTTATCTAGGTAAAAAAACCATCCAAACATTGAATAGATACATGGTGACAGACCATAAACATATTTACCTCAGTCAATTGAATGTTGTGTTATTTATATGATTTAATCAGAAAACTATTTACTGATAAGGCAAATATGTATGGATCAGTTCATGTGTGTAATTAACAGTGGCTGTGGCAGCACCAAATCCAATTTTACTTATAAAAACAGCTAGGGTGCAATTAAGTTAAACTGTGTCAACTTTTACAAACTAATGGAAATATTGTGCATTTTGATAGGTATACAGGCATTAGGCGTTGGTGACGTTTTTGGATTGAGGTGAATTAAGTTTTCGTTTAAGGTAGGACATGTATACCTTTTATGTAATTTTGAAAAAAAAACTGTATCTATTTTGTGATACTGCATTTCAGGTCAACTCCTGTTTCTTTATTTTTTTTGTCATCTGTAGTAATTTACAAACAAATGACAAACCAAAATTTTAAAAATTATCATTCCGAACTAAAAACAAAAATATACAGTTATTTAACTAAATAACTTTTTGATCAGCATTGTACGTGTTATTAAATTTACGGAAAGTAAATAAAAGAAACGTCTTATAACACTTAAAACATATATTTATGCTTATACTGTTACTCACAAGATGGTAAATATACAAAAAAGATGGTAAGTGGGGATCGATTTCGATTGGACACTCCAATCATCATCAGATCCATTAGGCGAATGAGTTATTTAATGCAAATATAAACCAATGTTGCATTTTAATTCGCAAAAATACAAAATCGTACTCCACAGCCATAATAAAATTTATGGTTTATGCTGATAAAAATTTAAGAAGTAAAATTAGTAATCATTTTACTCAAAAGAATATTTAGTTTTATACATAGTTTCATAATAACACATAAGGATAAACAAATTGATGAGATGAGAAGAGAACAAATATTTCATTTATGGCTGTAGGATTATAGGTACAAGGCAATCCGTTAATGTGGATAGTTAAAATAATGTCCCCATATCATACACTTTAATTATAATTATTAGTTTAAAATAATGTAATCTAGGCTATTTTTTATTCTGTTCTTATGCATTTTAAATATTTTAGATCCTACCGGGAGTAGATAAAGCTTAGTCTGTGGTTTTAAGGTACAATTTATTATTATGACCAAAATCTCATTACATCATTGAGAATATTTTTAAGCATAATGAATTCTCCCAATACAATAAAACGGTCTTCAAATCCTTTTTTATGTATGCATATGGCATTACCGTGAAAATGAAAATACTTTATTTAATAACAAAGGCTATAGATTATACATACTCTTATATAGATTTTTCTTCAGGGGGGATTATTAATGTTTTGAATAGTATAGGATATGTTTAATCTATGTCCAATGTGAAAAGCTATTATATTTCCTCCTACTGCCTGTCGTTAACATTATAGTTGTCTGCTAGCGCCTCTGACACCAGCTGACTGTGAAAACGTGAGGTTAGGTTGGTTGTGTTGTGTCTTGTCGTCTTGTCCTCTTGTTCGTGTTGTGTTGTTGTGTTATGTTATGCTGTCAATTCGTCATTTTATTGCTCATCCTAACCTTAAACAACTATTTTTGATGTAATGCATTTTGACATATTATTTCAAGAAAACAATTGAACTTAACTAGTTTTAACTGTTCTTTTAACTTAAACGTTGTAACAATGTTTACTTTAATAAAATGGAACCTCTTGAGAGTTTGTGTTCAAACCTTTTAAGCAGGATATCCTGCACAACCTTTTTAGCCAGTTTCGTAGGTGGACTTAACTTAATGGGATTAAAAATAATTCACGAACTTGATAGGCCTTCCGGCAACACTTCAAAAATGGAGAAATCAGAATTCTACAGAAATAAAATCATACTTGCACCAATGGTTAGAATTGGAACTCTCCCAATGAGATTATTAAGTCTAGACTATGGAGCTGATATCGTTTACTCTGAAGAGCTAATTGACTGGAAACTGCTTCGCTGCGAGCGCAAAGTCAATGGTAAAGTGCTTCTTTTAAAAATCAGAAAATTCTTCACTATGGTCATACGTTGAGTCACTATTTACTCTATCTAGCTTTAAATGGATCATAGACCCAATCTTGTCACAATGGAGATATTTTAGTGTAAATCCAATCAGGCAAATGGAAATTCGCTTAACTTATTCTGCAGGGTTGCTGCAGCGGGGGTATTTTACTCTAAAGCTATATGGATCGTAGATCCAATCGTATCACACCAGACGGTTAAGCCTAATTCAAAATTGGCTAAGTTATAAGCTGCTGTTATATTTTATCTTCCAGAATAAAAATAAGTTAAGTTGTTGTAAGAATAGATTAAATTGCTATTATTGAAAAGAATAGGTAAAAATCTTTGCAGGATGATTCAGATAACAGCTAGCTAGGCCTAACCTTTTTAAGTGTAACATCAAACGGTTTAGTTGTTTATTCGTTTACTTATTTGGCTTTAAATGAGATCACACAAAATATGAATGCCCAAATCATAGATACCGGTAGGCCTATATTACTTCTTGCTGATTTATAGTAGGCCTACTGTTTCAAGAAATCGTTCAGGTAATTTTGAGTTTTAGTTGGTACTTTCGTATTATACGGAGGCCACTTATTTAACAGCGCGCTGCAGCGTTTGTGTTAGGTTAGGTTATCATAAATATGTTTGTAGGACTTTCCTTGTTTCGTTATGAATCGAACGATACCAGATGAGTAAAAAAAATGTATGATAATACAACCGCTGCAGCGCGCTGTCTAAGAGTGGCCTCCGTATAATACAAAAGTAGGCTACCTTAATAATTTTAGGGTAAATTAATGTTTGCTTAGTTTCGTTTGTCAAGATTTGTGAACACAGTGACATTCCTAATTGGCAGGAAAGATGCAGTTGTCACTCACCATCTAGCAGTATACTAGTACCTAATTAAGTTATGGTATTTTCAGCTCTGCTCAAGTGATAGGGTTGTTTGTATCAGTCAAATTAAAACTACAGTTTTATTCTTGTAGGTTTAGTTGTCACTGGGGGGAGAACTCAATGGGATGAGAACTAGGCCTATTATGGTTGAAGTTTAAATTTTACCGCTCAAATGTGTAACTTAAGTAACCTACACAGTTTTTTTTTTAGATGTGTTGAACACTGTGGATTTTATTGATACAACTGACGGTTCTGTAGTATTCAGAACATGTGACAAGGAGAAAGATAGAGTCGTTTTACAAATTGGAACATGCGACCCAGAACGAGCCTTAAAAGCTGCCAAACTTGTGTAAGTTTATTTAAGTGATTAAGGGTTCTAAAGCAATCAGTGGCAGTTCTAGGAACCATGGTGGAAGTAAGACAGGTGTGCTATTCAGACGGACGAGTTTGAGACCATTCTGCGCGGGGGCAAACCACTTTGCACGTATTTAGTGTGACGCTGCCCGATAATATTAACATTTTGAACAGTTAGATTTGTCAAAAAATTATAGAACTTGACATGGACATCATCAATTATAAGTGTACGATCCATGTTGTGAAAACATAGTTAGTAATTGTACAAACTTAGGCCTAACCATGAAATCACTCTTTATACTTTGCCTTTCTTAAAACTAAACATGAAAAAGTTAGTTGGTTACCAAATCACGGACTGTTTGGTTAGAAGCATCTGAAGAGGGAAAGGTTTAGACAAAGATTCAAATTTAACGGTTTTTTAAACTATATATCGTTAGCGGCGTTTTTTCCTGAGATATGCATAGTTATATGAGCGCGTGAGTCGAGTTAGTTGCCATGTGTTAATCACGCATCATTGTCATCCAACAAATAAGGTAGTTTTATGAATATAGTAGTGGTGATATTTTTATTCCTGTAGCCTATATTTATGTATGTGTGAAAATTGTAGTTCTGTTGACTTCAGTATGTTTTTCCCTGTTTGAAGACGGATTAATTTGTAACAGTTCGCAGAGAAGATATCATTTTGTCTTCTCTGTGACCATGTATATTCGGTTAAATTTGGAATGTAATACCAATCGGTACCGTACTAACTAATAAATTTGTTTAAATTTTTTTTATAGCGAGAATATGTTCAGAACATATTGAGAAAAACTCCTTTCAAAAACCGTTGCAACAAGTTTTATTGGATATTCTCCAAAAAAACAAAGAAAGCTTATCAAGGATGCACTGCCAACTTTAAACTTGTTTAAAGAAACTAAAACGGTGTTGGTCGAACGCATTTTAATGCAAAACTATTTTATACTGTCACATGTTAAATATTACTTATTTGATTGAAAATGTAGAATACAAAGTCATCCTTATAACGTATATAGCTACAGTAGCCTATATTGGATAATAAATGCATGGCGGTTTTATCCAATAAATGGCGGCCTCGGCTGACTGGCGTTGCCGCTTAATATAGTTCTTCCTAACTAAGAAAGTAATTCTTTTATTGAAATCTAATCGATACTACAGTTTAATTAGAACGTTTCCCTAAAATTTTCCCGCATTTCTGACAAACCTCACCAAATAATACGTGATTGAAAAAGTTTTAAGTTTGTTCGGGGGTTTAATGGTTTTTTATAAATAAATTAATAACAGATAAATCAAAAGCATCCTATGTTTAATAGTCCACGACTAAGCAAAGTTTCAGGATTTTTTCTTGGTTCTAACTATTTAAAATTACGATTTTTTTAGAGCAGCGTCACTGTTCGATTTGGTCGCGAGGCTATTTGCTCCCAAGGCGATGTCACGATACCCCACCCCGCACCGCCCTCACCTGGCTACGATGCGCAGTAGCACATCTGTCTTACTTCCACCATGCTAGGAACCTTGTCAAGGAAGGGGGCTACTATGGCCCCCAAGTTAAGGAGGGATGGTTGTTTAAGAAAAAGGGGAAAGTTTGGTATTTTTAAAGCCATTTTTAACATTTAGAACTGTGTCCAAAAACCTACGCTACATTTTTAGGGGTTAAATATTTTTCCAGGTTCTAATGGAAAGCCCCGTCCCCTTGGAACTGCCACTGAATGCAATGGTTAGACGAGTAAAATCCATACCTATATAGGGTAAAAAGCTATAAGGTTCACAAACTCTTGAGAAATCCGATCACCTACCAACCGTATACTTGAATGAAACTTCCCCTTGATGTGTCTTAATGTGAAATTTCCCTGAAAATAGGCCTATCAGTTTTTATGAATCCTCTCCTAAAGGGCACAAGCCTCAATTAAAGGACCGTATTTAACCAAATACGGTAGGGCCTATTTAAGATAATTCAGCTGTTAGATTTTTTAATAGGTATATAGTTTGTTTGTTTACTTTGTTGATTGTTTACTTGGTTGTTGGTTAATATAGGTTGTTGTTTACTCCCTTAGTTAATCTTTTGATTTTTATCATATAGCCTAATGCTTACATTAGGATTGAGTTATTTGTTAGTCATTTTCATTAAAATAAGCAATAAGTATGATTGAGATTCACCAGGTATAACTGGCATGATAATTAACTGTTTTTCTTTACAGTAGATTTAGTGACCCACATTATATTCTCTTATAAATATTCTTGCCCCGTTGGGAAGCACAGACAGAACAACTAGTTATTGTAGGCTTGGCAACGTTTAACATTTGTTGTAGAATATAGAGGTCACCTCTAAATTCAACTGAACCAACATTTAAGTTGTAATGAGTTTATCTGTAAACAAATTGTTCAACATGTTTAAATAATCATTTATAATTTAGGCCTACATTTTTTGTAGGGAGAAAGATGTTGCTGGGATTGACATCAATATGGGTTGCCCCAAAGAATTCTCCGTGAAAGGGGGAATGGGTGCTGCTCTTCTGAAACAACGAGATAAAGCTCAAGGTATTCTGACAAAACTGGTAAACGGTCTGGAGATACCAGTCAGTTGCAAAATACGAGTTTTTGAAACTGCAGAAGACACTGTCGAGTTTGGCAAAGCAATGGAAGCCACAGGAATTAGTGCTATAGCAGTTCACGGGAGAACAAGAGACGAGAGGCCACAACATGACAACCACAACGACCGCATCAGAGCTGTCGCAAAGGCTTTGACAATTCCTGTGATTGCCAAGTACGTACAAAATAAACCGTCTGTAACAATATTACCTTTTGTCACCACTAGTTGAAAGGAAGTAAGTTTCCAAAACCAAGCCTAAAGAAATCATTGGCCTTTTGACTGAAATACAAAAATCTTACCCTTCAAAAATATGTTGCTTAAATAATTTGTTAAAAATAATAAAATCTTTAGGCTATGGTAGGGCCTACTATGAATATTCAGTTGAAATTGCTACTGACAATTCATTTAATTACCGTAATACATTGATAGGCCCTACTACTGATTGAAAGTTTGGTGATAACTTAATAATATATTCTAACAAGAGTTGTTAGAAAGAATTCATTAAAAACCTCCCACATATTTATTGTTTGCAAATTGCAAATAGAAATTTATTAAGAGCAGAGTGAGTATTGAATTCAACCAAAGGCTGCAGACATGCATCAAAAGATAGTGCTTGCAATATTAGCAGTGCTCACACCGTCAACATTCTTTCCTCTACAATTTATCACTTTTACTCCATTCTCATACCCATACCTGCTTTTCCAGTGGTGGCTCAAAAGAGATTGAGAAGTACACAGACTTGGAACGGTTCCGCAAGGATTGTAACGCAAGCAGTGTGATGGTGGCAAGAGCTGCGGAATGGGACTGCTCCATATTCCGCAAGGAGGGACGACTGCCAATCGACACAGTAATCTCGTCCTATCTGCGGTATGCAGTAGATTACGACAACGCAGATGGCAACACCAAGTACTGCGTACAGAACATGCTGCGAGACCGACAAGACTCTGAGTTTGGCCGAACATTTCATGAGACGCAAACAAACGAACAGATTTGGTGAGATGTGTTGTTTTTGCTATGAGAGCAGTGTTTTTTTAGTGAACTAAAACTTTCATAGGAAACATAATCGATGATTTTCAAGTCTAGGTCTTTGGGTGATGACCATTGTTGGATGAGTAAGACTAGACTATCTTCGGGCAAACTGCTATATTTAAAACTTCAGCTCCTACTTATTTAATGACGCGGTCATGACCTGAAGGCTTAGGTTTTACGATCTGCTGTCTAAATTAATTGATAATTTGTTGATGAATTCAATTTAGTAACATTTTACTAATACCTAATGCCAAGGGTGTAAAACACACAAAATAGATAAAAATAATTTTAAAATGAATAGGCTAATTGTCAACTTACTCTAACTAAGCAAGTACATTTTTAGTAGGCCTACCACTCTTTTCTATATCTTATATTAATATTTGAAACCATAGATGTATTGAGCAAAGATCAGAAGGTAAGCGTGCTTTACCCATATATAAAAAAAACAAAGTTTAGTTTATACTAGGCCTATATAATAATACAAATCTTATAACCAAACTTTGTTACAGCGCTTTGTGGAACATTGCCGATTACTGTCGTCAAAAAGAAAGGGATCTGAGGGAGCGAGGTCTGATAGGTCGGAGGGAGATGCAAGCTCTGGGACCAAAGAAGAGGAAACTAGACGATGATATAGTGCAAGTACCCTGCATCTTCCAACGTAACCTGTACGCAGACGACACAGACTTACCAAAGGCTAGGCTGCTACTGTGGACTCGTAGGAAACGCCTGGGTCAGCCGGTGTACGATACTATCCAGTTTGAGCGTCAATTTCAATCTATTGTGACCGTGGACAGGAAGAAATACTCCTCCTCATGCTGGTTAGTGTTACTATTTGTGTATAAGTTTTGAATAACATTCATAAAAGGGTTGTCAATTTATCAAGGTTTCCAAAGCATTTTATTGTAGGGATTTCAAAAGGATAGAGGATCTTTCTAAAGCTATTCCAATCTGAAGAAATAGGACTGCAGAAGGACACTGGAGAAATAGGACACTGCATATAGGAAATTAATAAATAATCACTGAAAGTTCAAAAGGATTGTAGGTTTCTTAAGCTCTGTTGATAACAGCCAAACTACAAAATATTAAATTGTTGATATTTCTTTTGTCGGAAGTCTTAACAAATTCAATGCAGCTACCATTCACACTAAATTTTTTCAGGGAGAAAAACAAAAGGTCAGCAGAACACAGTGCTGCTCTTGCTTGTTTGTGCTCGTTTGGGCTTGTCGACACACATTCTTTGAAGAATAATGGAAGTATTATCTGTAAGTACACAATATCACGTTTGAATTTTTTTTCAATGAATTGTAGGTACCTACTTTATGGAAAGAAATGTCTGCCTTACCTTCAAAACCATGTCAATAGCCGAACTTTTCTAAGAAATCTGTAAAAATTACTTTTAAATTAACCTGCTAATCAATAGAAAGAAAACATGGAATTTTTCATAAACTCCCATTTACGAATTTAAATTATAGTATTTTTCCTTTGATTTTTTAGTTTAAAGTATTAAGCTTTATTAAGAAAAGGATTGTCAAACATCACAGAGAGCAGGTTGTCATTTTTATGTTGAGCTAGGCTGATTTAATGTTTATTTTTAGATTATCAATAATTTTACTGACCACACAACTTGATAAAGTGGTCAGTTATATTTCCAATATTAAAATTGTTTTTACTTTGTAATTTTTTGATGGAAATAAAATCATTCATTATTCATTTGAAGTGAAATATTTTAATGTCAAAATATGTATAAAACTGTGATTTATAAACTAAAAAAATTAATGTACCTAATATTTTTATTTTTCAGATTAACTGAAATACATCAAGCATTTAAAGAAGATTGTCCGAGCATCTCAGTACCAGTAGTTGACGATGCATATACTGAACGGTTTGAATCTCAAGTTTTCTTTCGTAAAGACAGGTTTTCCTAGTAAGTTGAATACGGCTTCGGGATTGTAAATATTGTGCGAGTATTAGGAAATGAGGAAAGCTTGATAAGAACAGCCCTTGACAAGTACAATTATAGAACGTACGCCCTTGAACATTCAGTTGGTGCCAAAAACGCAACTGTATTCGGCAGCAAAGAAAACCCGAACTAAACTTTATCATTTTACTGTTGCAAATATGTGCATTTTTAACCTGTTTTTCTTTTACCTATTTACACAGAAAATAATTAAATAGAAAAACTCATCATGCACCAAGGACGTTAAAAATCAGGGAAAGCATTATGTACAAATTATGTATATAATATATTATACAATTATTACATGGCTACATTTTATTTACCTGAATCATCTGTCCTAAAGTAGCAGGATGATTAATTTCTCTGCATTATTTTACTCATGTAATCACTGAAATTCTTATTTCTTCGGTATCACCAGCCATTTGCCCTCTGATTTCCTCAGATTTTGCATCACTTTTTTATGCTCAGGTTAATGTTTGATTCCTTGAAGATGAAGATTCTTTCTGATTCACCTCTGACCATATTCATTATAATACGCCCAAACATGATGCTAAGTTTTTTTTGTAATCAGTTTCTTAATGGTCTTACACCACACAACAGTGACAACACATTTTTTTTACAAAGACCAAATTTCTTATTCACACTAAAATATTTGGTCGAAAATGAGATTGATGGTTATTATCGCCCAGTTTTTAATGTGAATGTTTTAAGTGTTTAGTAGAATACAACACTGTTATAGAAGCATTCCTAAACAAATAAAACATGGTACAATTTTGTTTAGTAGGTAGTGTAATTTAATGAACAACATATTGGCACACCGTACAAAAAAGATATAGGTAGTATTAATTAAAGCCATAGATAAAACATACTCCCTTAGTAGATTTCTCATCCTTATGGAACAGCTGAAGACAATTTTATTGTTAGTTCTGTACGGTTTATGTAGAGGTCGTGTTTTGTTTACAATTTGTTTCCCGTTATTACAGCCATTTAAAACCTCGTTTAACCAAATAATACGATATAATCATAAACAATAACTTGTCCCCTAGTTACATAACCAAACAGTAAAGCACAAATCAAGAAATTAACCCTAAAATAATAGAAACAAAGTTTCGTCGACACTAGCGCCCAGTGTCACGTACATGAACTAGACACGAAAAACGTGCTTCAAAATTTACAATGGGATGAGAAGTCTACTTGTGTTGGTTAGTCTATGTTAAAGCATGATCAAGTGAGGCTTTATGATTGAACTATTTATATAACTAGAGGTCGTCCAGTGGTCGAAAACTCTACCAAAAATATGTAATGTACAGACTTCTCTATATTCACCCCAAGCTGTAAATAAACAAGTGATTGGAATTTCTTCTATTTGTTTTGATTTTCAATTTATATTTCGTTGTTATTTCGGCAACCCATAAGGTCCACGTTAATTTTTTTTAATTTTAAATTAATTTTTTGTGCTTATTTTTGAGCATATTTTAGTTTATAAAAGGATTGCTTGCCTATTAATATATAGATTGTTTGAGGTAGAAAAGGAAAACACAACCAAAGTAAGTCAGGCATTTTTCATTTGTTTAAATATTATATGTACAATTCCTTAAGACTAACCAGTGCAAGAAGATAGATGCATGCTATTCGTCCTTAGGTTTGAGGAACCTTGCTCTTTTCCTGGGCGGTTCTTCTTGTTTATTTGAGGCAGAAGACATTTGTGAGGAGTTAACACCTCGGATCTTCTTTGTCTTGTATTTACTTGCAACTGTCTCCACTAAAGATTCCTTAAACTTGGCCATTTCGACGTCGCTGACATCCGTAGCCATGGATCTATCCACTGGTTTTCTCTTGGCTAATTCTTCCAGTTCCATAAGTCTCTCTATTTCTGGATTCATTCCTCGAAACGATAATCTGCCATCGATTAAATCCTCGCAAGGGATAAAACTTGGTTCCAAAATATAATTGCTCCTGTAAGAAAAAAACAGTCGGTATTTTAGAATATGTTCCAAGCAATCTGTGAGGTATAAATCCAGGTATTTCGTCCCTCACATTCGTCTCCGAATCAGGAATGAGTGTTCGTGTGATGGGATGGAGCATCAACCTAACTAAAGCAATAATTTAAGTTACTGAAGGGATTACCTTTTGGCCACAACTTTAAAATGGCACAAGTGCTAAACACATATTTTATTTAGTGTCCCTTAAAGGTGTGATATGAGTTTTGTCTGAGGTATGAGAGTTTGGGTTTGGACTGCTCATGTGTACGGTATGTCACTGCATACCATGTGGCGGCTGTCGTCTTGCCTTGTGAGGTATGTTGAGATGTGGTTTTGTTGTCATTAGTTTCTCGTGTAAAATTTGCAATTGTTGCTTTTCTCGGCATGTGTCATGCGACAAAATGGCTGCTGCTGTTGGGTTTGCAGTGACGTTATCACACATTATGGCTCATCTCCTATAGGCTACTCCATACAACTTGAATTGTGTTTTACCACCTGACAAAGTAGGCAGGTGAGCAATCCCATCCCAAAGTGATAACTTTGACAATGATTCATCTATCGCTATCAAAATACGTGAGGCAAACGACTTTTTGATAGAAAGAGGATCAAAGCATCAATAAATGAATCATTCATTAAGCTCAAGAACAGAGAAGTAAGGTACACAGGAAACATGCTTTTGGGACGATCGGAAACATATAAAAATGGTTTATTTTACCTTTTTGCGTCGAACGATCCGTGTGTAGTTAGTACAACTACAACTGTTTCATACCACTAGGGTACATCATCAGGTTGTTGGCAGAACGTTAGATAAAACAGCATTCATTAATAGATGAACTTGTCGAAATGAATATGTCTATATACACATAATACACGAAAAACATTTAAAAAACACAAATTTACGAACTTGGCCAAGTAACGAACACACGAGACAGGCGCCGATGGATGTTGCGTCATGACTGCTGTCGTGTGTCCAAGCATCAGCTGTTACCCCTCCCCCCCAACTCCTTTATCAGGACCAGTTTTGTTTTGGTTTAAATGAATGGCAGTATTGTAGATGATATTAGATCTGAATGAAATTTGTTCGTTCAATATATGGTCAGGGTGTTCTTTGGATGCCTTGTATATTTCGAACTCCTCTATTGTGTCCATGTATCTGCCTTTAGTACATAAATGCATAATTTCTAGATTACTATGTATGTCCGTGTAGTTGTGGTTTGCGTTAATTATGTTACAAGGCATCCAAAGAACACCCTGACCATATATTGAACGAACAAATTTCATTCAGATCTAATATCATCTACAATACTGCCATTCATTTAAACCAAAACAAAACTGGTCCTGATAAAGGAGTTGGGGGGGAGGGGTAACAGCTGATGCTTGGACACACGACAGCAGTCATGACGCAACATCCATCGGCGCCTGTCTCGTGTGTTCGTTACTTGGCCAAGTTCGTAAATTCGTGTTTTTTAAATGTTTTTCGTGTATTATGTGTATATAGACATATTCATTTCGACAAGTTCATCTATTAATGAATGCTGTTTTATCTAACGTTCTGCCAACAACCTGATGATGTACCCTAGTGGTATGAAACAGCTGTAGTTGTACTAACTACACACGGATCGTTCGACGCAAAAAGGTAAAATAAACCATTTTTATATTGCAATTTACGATCCAGAGGCTAACCCATCATGAAATTGGAAACTTGTCAAGTTCAATTAGCCTACAAATACAAGAACGTTAAGATAAAACTTTTCAAAACCATAGAAAACATAAAATTTAATAAAAAATGCATTGAATATGGATTAGTCCCTAAATATGTATCAGTTAAAATTAACAACGTCTCCAAAGCTGCTAAAAAAGCCAAAAAAGTTGCTGAAACTACTTGGATTAAACATGAAATCAAGTCGTTGCATGCCAAAAAATGCATGTTGAACAAGTTATTAATGAACACACATTTAGAACTTTTAAGCAGCCTTCACCCTTCACAAACCAAGAATGTGTTATCAGAATTGGATTCTCAAATCAATAGAAAAATTTTTCTAAAAATGAAATCCCAAACCAAAAAGATTGATTCATTAGTAAAATCACAGTTGAATAAAGATACAGTAAATTGTAGTCACGTATTTCATCCAAGATTTATAAATAAAACGAACATAGAGTTCTCTGAACAAGAAACCAATCTTTTGAACAAAGGATTAAATTATAATTTTCCCAATGATAAGAAAAATAGCTTGATATCAGAACTACTAAATGCAGAAACAGCTGTAAAATATTTAAACAACAATGACGCACGTGATACGGCAAGAGTAATGATCACAAACAAAATGAAAAAAGCTGTCTTAAATCCAAACATTAGAAAATCATACTTGACAAAATATAAACCTTTAAAACAAGTCGCTGCCAACATTAGGGACAAGTTAGAACAAAACAATGCCGTTATCACAAAAGCTGATAAGGGAAACTGCATTGTTATCCTCAGTAAAACTGAATACGTAAACAAAGTTTGTGAATTCATCACAGCCAATAATATTGACACATTAAACTGTGACCCTACTGCTACCTACTCCAAAGAAATAAATAAATTGATATCCTCGTCAACAAATCTTTTGTCTAAAGATGAAATAAAGCAATGCAAAGTTACTAGACCCCAGGCTCCCATCCTTAGAGGACTACCGAAGATCCACAAACCTGACACGCCCATCAGACCACTAGTAAATTTCAGACCCTCACCAGCCTATAAAATTGCTCAAAAACTTGACAAAATAATTAGGAAAGAGACCGCCTTAGATAACGACCATAGTGTTAAGAACACAGTTGATGTAGTAAACCAACTCTGTAAAATTAAACTAAAGGGTTCTTATACTTTAGCCTCATTTGACGTAGTGAATTTATTCACAAACGTACCCATTGATGAAACCATCGACATACTTGAATCTAATCTAGATAAAAACTCCTCCTTATCAACCGAGGCTAAAAATGAGTTAGTTAATCTCACTAAAATAGTCCTCAAACAAAACTATTTCACGTTTGAAAATAAATACTACACACAAAACGAAGGTTTAGCTATGGGCTCTCCACTTTCAAGCGTCCTTTCAGAACTGTTTCTAAACAATATAGAAAATAAATTTCTATGGTCAGATTCCAACAAACAAAAAGATAAAATAGTTCACTACAGCCGATATGTGGATGACACATTAATCTTATTCAATGGTAATGAAAGGCAGATAAAGATACTTGGAAATTATTTGAACAATGTCCACCATAAACTAAAATTCACCCTCGAAACCGAAGCTAACAAATCAATTAATTTCTTAGACGTAA